TTGTTGAGAGCTTCTGAGATTGCAAGTTTTTTGTTAGCTTGAGTAAGACCATTAATGTTTAAAGAGGCAATTTTGACTAGAAGTAAAGCATATTCAAGGATAGAAGGGGAGTTTGATGTGTGGTAGTTTGATAGTTGATTTAAGGAGAGTTCACAGGTTTGTAGAGATAGTATATTTGTTGGGTAATGAGATTTAAGAGGAATGTTTTGAAAGTTAGAAAGGTTTTTAAAAGGAAGTAGAGAGTGATTAGGTAGAAGAGAAGTTTCATGTGGTAGGTATATATGTGCTTCTTCAGGGTTATATTTGGTTTTTGTTTGAACAGAAATTTTGATATAATGTTTAGAGAAGAAGGTTGGGTAGTTTGATTTAATAAAATGTATAAAGAAGGCAAGTGTTTGTGGTGAAGGTAGAAGTTGGAGTTTGTAATGGGATAGAAATTTGTTATAGCATGTTGTATGATCATAAAAATCAAGTAAATTAGAAAGAGGAGGGTTAGTAGGTTTGTCTGATATAGTGTTTGTAGTTGGAGATGTATTGTTGTTGTCTAGTCTTCAGGAGAATGGTTTTTGGAAGATTTGAATGTGGGTGTAGAGGTGTTTATGAAAATAAAGATAGTAGAGTATATAAAAGATAATAATAAATAAATAATATAATAATAATAATAAGTTATAAAGAAAATAATGAAAAAGAAAATAAATAAAAATTAACTATCTACACTATTCTATACAGTATTATTTTTGGGTGGCTTAGCTCTTCATTTCTATATAAACCCATTCGACTTCAATTTAAATCACCTTTAATTTCAACCAATCAGGTGAGAGAGTCATTACTGTATCTTCTTGTTTATTATCTGATAAGCTCATTCACTAACTCTCACTTTACCACATCCTTTTTATTGACTAATTGACCAACTAATTAATTCATGTTTTTAGATGGATAAATGTAAACCAGGATATTATGCTACTGCTAGTGGATGAATCAAGTGAATTTATTTTACTTGGGAAGAGTGTAATGCGCAATTGAATAAGTTTTTTAATGTGAAATATCAAAAATTTTATACTTTAAAAGATACTGAAAATTATATAAAAGAAAAAAAATGATATTTAAAAAATAAAAGTTGAAATTAATAATGATATAATTCAAATTTATACTGATAGTTGTTTTCTTGAAAATGGAATACCAAATGCTCAATCAGGAATTGGTGTTTTTTAGGACAATTCAGATCCATATAATTTATTAGAGCAAGTTTCTAGTGATCAAACCAATAATCAAGCAGAAATTTATGCTGTGATTTATACAATTGAAACATGTGAAAACAAAATGAAACTATTAGAAATCATGATAAATAGTAAATATGTTATTAATATGATAGAAAGTTGGATAAAAAAATGGGAACAAAATGGTTGGATTACTAAACTTAAAGAACCAGTACAAAATAAAGATTTATTCATTAGATTAAGAAAATTAATTAATAAAAGAATAGGCCAGTAAAATTAACATTTACAAAAGGACATAATAGTAATCATAGTAATGAACAAGCTGATTAGTTGGCAAAACAAGGTTCTTTAAAAGAATATAATTTTATTATTAGCAATGATATTGATGTAAAACATAAAATCACAGAGTATTTTAAATAAATATATATTTTTTATTAACTAAACAATAGTTTCTACCAAATATGTGTAATTTTATTCAACTGATAATTTTTAGTTTCTGGTGATGAGATGAAAACTATTAGTACTCAAAACACGTGATTCAAAGAATTATATGTTTTTAGCACAATAGGCGATCATTTTCATCATAAGAAATTATTAACACATGAAGAGGAAGGGAGTAAGAGTAAAGAGATTTTGGATGTGGTGTGATATTTTCATTAGCAGTTAGCTAAATAAAAATAATCACATGTTGAGCAGTTGGCAGTGGCTGCTAGCCAATAATTGATATTTTATTATTTTAGTTTAAATAATGGATTTAATATTAAAATCAAATAATCTTTTTCTTAATAAATTAGAAATTGTTTTTTTTTTTTTTTTTTTTTTGTTTAAGGTGACCTCTTTGGCTGGGGGCTTTTTATTAGATAATTAACAATGTTACAATTATGATAAGGGTACAACTAGCCACACGTACAACTTTTGGTTGTCTATTTTAAGTGGTCCGCCTGAGTTCTACACTAGCCGCCAT